GAGGTTCTTGGGTAAAACTCCCAAATCCGGAGTAGTGGATGCGCACAGCTAAGGAAATTTATACTATCGTGGAACAGTCAACGAATGCATCGTGGTTGTCTAACATAGACCGCTTTTTGGTTTTAATGAAATCAGAAGTACTGACATATTATCTTTTTGTAACGTCGCTTGACGGTATCTCAGATAAAAAGGAGTTCCATCTAAAGCTTTTTATTTTTACATAAGGCTGTCTATTCGTTTGTCATCTTAGTTACTAACTTGGATCTTGGAAAATTTAGCTAAAACTTGAGGGGGGTTTTGCATTTTAGCTTGGTGAATATATGAAGGTGTTTCCCTACTGACACGCTGTTTTGTAAAGGTTTATTTGTCGCAAGTACGAACTTTAGATGTAAAGAAAGATACTGTTTAATCTGACTACTACAGACGCCAACCTAAATCAAATACAGACTTATCATTTCTTCATTCAATTTTAGGACAGATATGCAAAACACTGGCACTGTATTTAAAGAATTTCACTAAGGTCCAACCATGATGTGCTGTGAATATACATATTACGTAGCACATAAAAGCGTTAAGTTACCGAACTTATTCTTCATAAATCATACAGCTTATTCAAGTTTCGTAGGAGCTATGTGAAACTCCCACTGACATTTTGAAACAGACCATTTCGTTTGAAACATGACGTTTATAAATTTATTTCAGAAATAATTTTAAAAAAGGCATATTTTATAGAGTTCCGGTTGGACAACTGAGTAACTATAAGACAGTCTGCTTTTTGTTTATTCACTAATAAGATCTCTTACATAATTTTCATTATTTGTATTTAAGGTTTATGTGAAAACTGAACACCGAGGTGTACCACAGGCATATGCGCGTATTTACGCATTCTATCCTGATGAATCTACTAGAGAAAATTCAAGAGAGGATAACAGTAATCCTGTGACCGATTCAGCAAATAATAAGGAATCTACTCAGAATTCTCGTCTTCTAATTGGTTATGTTCAAGATGGTGGTTATGGTCAGTCACTAGGTCGTGGAATTGGATTGGGTTTTATCAGTTTAAGTGCTTTATCAAATGCTTTAAATTTGATTAACACTACCAGAAGAATAAAATATTGCATTCAAAATCCTACATCACATCAATCCTATAATGTCAGACTTTCTGTAGTGATTTAAGCAAGATATTCGGTTACTATGTTTATTGTCTATAATGTAAAAAAGCAATATAATTTATACGAAGTGTTTGCTTTCAGTTTGTAACATAGTATGTAATACCTCTTTAATGTCATAATCTCTTCAACCACCGATTAAGATTATCTTCCAAACTCTAAACAGTTAGTTCACGTTTTTCAGTTTAGTAACTAATGCGACTGTTACTCTGAATCGTCCATCCTCTTCTTAATTACTGTAATATTGCTTAACGAATATAGGTTGCAATCGAATACTCACATTCGAAAACTCCCATTCATTACGAACATTGTTTCTTGTAACTGTAATAATATTGGGTAGAATGTCTGAAATGTACTATTGGAACACATCACAATACTGAAAATCTCCGAAAAATACATCAATATTTACAACTATATCTGTTATCATCATATAAGGTTGAGGTTGAAGTGCTGTCCATATAACAAATTATGATAATTCGAACGGTTTTATTTAGTATTAGAATAGTTAATACAATAAATTTAGCTTTCTCTACTGTTCACGTACTTAGAATACATAGTATCATTGATTCACTATTTAGACTGCTTCAAGTTATAGTTAATTTTTGATTTATGTTTCATGTATATGTTGTAGTTTCTTATCGAAAGTCTCAAATTTTGAAGAATTAGTTAAATACCGTATGAAGCATCAATACAAAATACTACGAGTATTTATTAGAACACGGATTTAGGAACGAAGAATATTATTTCTAATAATTCCTCATCGGAATCCACGTTTGTACATCCAAATTGACGAGCCATGATGATAAGAATACTTAATATAAGTCACGCATTAATTGTTGGAAGCGGACTTCGTCAATTAGAATAAACCGATAACAGTTGAATTCCTAAACATATATATGCAATGCGGCCCTAAACTGCTTAGTGCTCAAGGTTATCACTAAGCCGCTCCAAACTCCACCTCTCGACCGATAATTTACAATCAACTTAGCATACTTACTACAAGTGTTCACAATTAACACAAGTCCAATTTGTGACCTTGTTCCGTTTGCTTCGCTCCCACATTCTTAATACATTATGTTGTTTTTCCATACTTTCACGCCTATTTTGATCATGACACCATTAGTATTTGATCATATAAATATTTCGGGAACCTTTGCAACCCATATACGCATTTTGATTTATCCTCAAGTTCACTTGAGTGATTAATAATACTATTATCAGCATCACTAAGTATACTTGATGGTTGCTTTTTGGATTGCTAAACAATTTCAATCACGTGTCTACTCCACTGTGATAACAATTTATAGATTTTCCTCATTGTTGGCTACATTGACATTTCTTTTGGTTATTCTACCGGACATGAATGATTATATTATTTATGATTATTAGGCAAACTACGATCATATATGTAAGATTTAAAGCTAATAGAACGTTTACTGTTTGTACACTGAAGGCGCTTATGAAAAGAATTATTTAAATGAGAAGTATAGTAAGGTGGATATCACAGTTAGCGTACAACCGTCAAATATGTAAGTATTACAGATGTGTGTACGTAAAACGCTATAATCAGTAGTTATAAGGTATATAGTTAAACACATTTAGTTTCGTGAGGGTTGATAGTGTTTTGAAAATATGAGTACCTTCCACACTAAGTTCCATATTAAGTCCTTGTTTTCCGGTATATATCGAAGTGAACATTAAGAATATTCTGAATACCGATAGTTTACAAATTAATTTCAGAAGTAATAAGTATTAAAAGAATGTTACACATGATGATTTTTATGTACAAAATGTCTTTTTTGCAACAGTAGAAGTTACATTAAGATGGAAATTTGATTATACAAACCTAGTAATTTAGCGTGAGCAAACTAGTTTACTTAAACCGACAAAGTAAAGAAAACATCTGGATTTATAAATAGTATGAGCAATGTCATGGTTATCGAACATCCATGTTGATAAGAAAAGGAAACATAAGTAGTTCAAATCGATGCTAATTTCTAAACTTAAGTTTTACAAGCATATTCAACATGTGACTACTGAAGCTGTTTACCATGCGCTCATCTTATACATTATTATGAGATCAATTATATATATATATATATATATATATATATATATATATATATATATATATATATATATATATATATATATATATATATATATATATATATATATATATATATATATATATATCAAATTGTGGACTTTTACCTGATTTATACGTTTTCTAAATGACATACTATTGAAGTTTAAAACATGATTTCCTTGTGTAAACCAGTAGTTACTGATCAACAAATACTTCTCATTTGACAAGCATAATAAATGAGTTTTCAGTATAGGTCTGTGAGGATTGTCGATTTTGATTAAAATGATAGACTACCATTGAAAACCGGGAAGCAGTGGACGAACATTTCATTCTAGTATAGGACTCCGCTAGGTACACCCATGACTCAGTACGTGAAAACTGGACTAAGACCTTCTGGTCTCGCGCTCGAACTTTTAACCACTGGACTAATAAGCCGGAATTTAACGTTGTTAGTGTCCAACTTCAATCAATCTACGATATTGTGCAACTGTCTTCCAAACTATGGCGAAACGGCTGTCCAGTGCCTATGGATTGCTCTAATATTGATCAGTTCATGGTAAATGGTACACATTGAATATCCAAATAAACCGTTAGACTACAGCAAAACCTACTTTGTTTTGTGACGCAATGTGGCTAGTCTTATGAAAAACATAGATTAAATAAAAAACCACTGGGAACTCAATTCGAGAAACATGGAAATCAGAAGTGCCAATATTGAAGCCTTATGTATATACTAACAGTCTCACAGATTTATGCCTAACTAGCTTTTGAACAGATCAACACTAATAACAAATAAAGATACACGACTATGTAAATCTATAGAAGATCAACAGCACAAACCATTTATATTCTCACTGATTACGACTTGATTAGCCTGTATATCACAATACAATGACGTCATATACTAAATGTAGAAAGGTAAAAGATTTACATCGCAAATATGGCATTGCCAGGCAGCCTCACCTAAGCCTGAAGTTGGTTGGAAAACACATGAGGTCATGCAACCTGATCCTACCTGAAGTTTTTATATTTTCAATAGGGCTAACCAATGTTTTACATACCTCTATCTCAAGAGGATCGACCCACATTAAGATTTGAATGATATAAACAATGACTTGCAACGTCATGCATAAGTCTAAGAATAGCGAAGTATCACACTAAATAAAATTCTCCAGAAAGCATAAATATGTTAGCTCTGAACAATAAGCATGGGTCTAGTATTTTGCAAACTCAGGTTGCCTGAATTTGACAGTATTATATAGCGTAAAATATAATAATGACAATGTTAAAATCAGATAGTTTGATTCATTTGCAACTTGAATAAAAGATCTTATGTAGTTTTGTGTACCTAAACTAGGCTAGGTGGACCATAGAGGTTGTAATTCATTGGTATACTTAACTCTAAAATTATGGAAAATAGACATAAAATTTTCGGTTAAATGAGATAAAACTGAATGTTACAAAAAACTCATAATTCACAAATAAGACTTCGCAACTTTTGTAACATTCAGGTTTGAGAAAATAATATTGTTAACTGATGCTTCTGTTAAATACAAAGATTTCTCGTAGTAGACATCAATCACTGGTAATTTCACATGTAGTACATAAAGAAAATAGTGTATCATGATAATATTTATTTCTTAACTGTCATTATTACCATTTATATAGAAGAAAATTATACATTAACAGGCAAATAAAATGAATAACTACAACATATGGAAATGAGAGGATCATCGCTGTTGTCAGTTTGGAGACGATGGAAGCAGATCATTGAGAAATTCCAGATCATCATCTAGTTGAAGGGAATAATAATAATAGTTACTGAAAAACGTATGTCAAAGACTAATTTGACTAAAACGAACTGATTAGTTTGAATATTATAGGGAAGATATAAATACAGTTACCTGTCACATTTATACAATTCTTTTTATCAAGAAAGTATAAATGATAACAGAAGAGTGTTTATGTTTCAGCAGTACCTTCATTTATTATGACAAACATCTTCGCCGAGATGAAATCAGCGCTGATTGATTTAACTGAAGAACTAAGCATCATCTGTGAGATTCACTATAAAATGCATTACACATGAGTAGTAGATTTTATATTGAATAATCTCATTTCTGTATTTTATTGACCCATCATAAAATAACTGTTAACTTATTTGTTGATGCGTTTTCTTTATCCATTCTGCCATATCTTACTAGTCATCCTTGCACTCGTGCTGTTACTGAGTTTATTACTTTGAATGTAAGTTTTAGTCGAGGCTAATTATTATGTACTATAGGATCATTCATTATTTATGTATAAATATTCTGAAGAGCCAACACTTGTTCTACTTTAATTGGATTCCATTGAGCTATTTAAGTGAATCTAACACCTTATGCGACGGTTAGCATACAAAATTTGGTAAGCGGAACGGGTCCGAACCCACGATCTAATAGTTGAAATTTTCGAATGTTTCTAAACTAATTATACAGATACTGACTTATTTTATGCACTTAGTTGATCTGTTAACTATTTCATCCAAGAAAAAGTAGTATTTTTAATTTTGCTGTAAGCAGAAAATTGTATGACTAGTTACACATTAGGAGTTAATCACACTAGTCATTTAAAATGGTACAACTTACCAATTAGATTGAAGCTGCTATTTGTCGTAGTACACAAGTGAGATTCTTTTAATTCCATAGTAGAAAAGACTAATGTATATTTAATGGAAGAAAAAAGCCAACGAAATAAATCAAACTTATAGACATACAAAACAGGAATCAAAATTCACCAATAATAATTTATCTCAAGTTTCTTGTTTTGATTCGTTTTTTTAATCAGAACATTTACAACATAAAAATGTGCAGAAAGACACTTTACAACATTATTTACATAGTACATTGAAACAAAATAGTAATTTGCGTTCAGTAGCGACTACATACAAACAGAATTTTTGAGATAGTAGGGAGGATTTGTAGTCTAAATAGATAAATTTGGTGGCCTTATTCTTTGAGCTCAATGGTTTAATCGAGCACCTTCCATCGTCCTTATGAACAACATAATCACCACAAATTTCAGATAGAAATGAGCTATCTGCATTCATTCACACAAGACTGCCACGTCCTGTTGACCTCGACTGACTGATGATGACCTTTGCCCTGCAATCGCTCGTAAATTTATTTAGATTGTTATTCCTTTTGACATGGTTCTTGACTTTATAACTCCATGACTCTCATAATTGGCCGAAATCAGAAAAACATGGACAACCGTAAGGTTGAAAACTGATATTCAAAATAAATATGCAAGTAATGACTAGACAAGGGTCAATATCAACAAGTCATGATCAAGGTCAACAGGATTATGTATCAGTCTTAAGTGAGGAAATCCGGATAGCCTCAAAATTTATGTCTACGTTGTCCAAAAGGAAATTGAAAGCTTCATAACCAAACCACTCAACACAGAAAACAGAACTCTATCATAAATCAAATATTAGTATTGTATATGTTTAAACTAAAAATTCTTGTAGGCTAAAAGGTATGTAAAATTACAAAAACCAAAAAAAGTCTACTGATGTATAGAAAAAAGTAAAAGTATAATATGTTAGAAAGAAAATTCTTACATACACGTTTAAAGTAAAAACAAGCAGATTTATACATTACCGTTTTAGAAGTTAATAATTATGTCGCCAAAATCTATTTAAGAGATAAATAGTGACCATTTCCCCGGAAACCAAGAGATGTAGAAGAAAAAACAGTTTCATAAGGTGAGAATTTCTATATTCATTTTGAGAGTTTATTCTTATTGACTATTGGAAGAGAAGTGTTATTATGGCGTCATATTATAAAAATTATATTAGATATGTATTTGCACTTTTGTTTTATTATGTATAATCCAGTACGATCCTTTTGTACAAAAAAAACAAACCTTTTCACTTGTATCCTATGTGCAATAGTAGTAAGTATTCATTGAAGTGTCAATACATGAATGCTCTTCTGTAATTCTGACAAGTGATTTAAATCAGAACTATTTGTAGCAAACTCGCCTAACTAGTCAAGAAAAGAATACAAGTTTTCATTCATCTTCTGGGTTATTTAATTAGAAGTCATTTGTTGCTCTGATTAAAAACTGATTCAAATTTATTGATTGGCCGTTATTAATTACTGTAAATCTATGTGTCGATAAGAGAGTACAAACGAGAGAAATGAAATACATCTCGGTATTTTCTACACAGACCACTTACAAAATATTTTATTCAAGATGTCTGATTGCACATACCTTACTTTTACTAACAGAATGCTATTTTACTATACTGAGTTGATAATGTGCATCCCATAGAGAAAAAAACATAGCATATATAGGAAAAGTCAACGAAACTTACGTGATTGTAAAGTAGGTGGTATAGATACTGGTATATTGGATAGATCTTTTAAAGAATATTTTATTGAAGGTGATTTATGCGGAACTAATGATGTGACAGGAAACTGGGTTTTCAAAATATCTTTACAATAATCAAGTCCCTTCATTTTTAACATATCAGTTGTACTGGACATAACTTCTGATAATGATAGAAAGAATTAACAGTTTGAGGAATATGAAAAATAAAATTATACTAAGCTAATAACCTAAACAGAATAATAATAATTTTAAGTTTAAAATTACATATCATTGATTGAAACATAAATAATACATTTGTAATATTCCAATGAGTAGAAAAATTAAATTTTCTGATGTTTTGTAACTTAGTGTAAGCCACTTCTTCAGAGAATCAATAACCAAATCTAATTTAATTCAAGTTTAAATAGTACAACGGAACAATAAGAATAATTTTTCTACTCATTGGGATATCACAAATATATTATTTATTTATAACAATCTAACCAATACTAAAATTTATTCAAAACTTATGAATTGAAACAGTTGAACTGCATAATCTATGCTTAGTGGATGACATGAATTTCAGTTATTAAATTTGTAAAATCTAAAAACTAATTAAAACACAATCGAATAGAGTGTATTCAATTAGTTAAATTCTATTTACCAATGTTTTATTGTACTTAACACAACTATTATTAGCACAGGGTTATTACGAAGAACAAAAGTGAAGGATTATTAGTTCTTTTGTGATCGTTCTTTTTTTTTGCATTTTCTTGGTTATGTTATCAATAAATTCAATCATACAATAACTGAATTGATCATTATGTATATAAAATGACGCTTTTAATTGTATTATATATGTTTATAAATTTGAATGGTAAGTCTGTCTATTTTAAATCGATTTGATTAGGATCAGAGATTTGCTTCTAGATGTAGACGATAATGTAATGTCGGTTGCTATGTCAAACCCACATAGGTTATTCTAGCCTCTGGACAGATCAATCTATTCATTCTTTTCAAGCCACATTTTTACCCTAACTGTTTTTTATATGATCGTATGTGTGTGCATATCTTACCTTACTCATCACATACATGTAACTTATTTTCGTCTGAATATAGATATCGATTCATGCTTGCATAAAGTCAATTAGCTCACTCGCCTTCTCCACCGTGCGTCATTTCGCTTCGTTTGTCTGGATCAACGATTGTATGAAGTATACGTATTCGAAATTGATTCTCGTATTTGACTTATTTAATTCCGTTATACACTAAGCGCAATTTAAGTCCATGATACATACAGGGATATATATTTCGATAGCAATCACTCGATAACGGTAATCATACGACCCAAATAAGGTCAGATCTTGGGCCACCAAAATAATTAGGCTAATCAAGTAATCCGGGTAATTTAAATAATACGCAAGTGTGTTTCATTACTATAAGATGTTTAATGTATTGTGAACCAGATAAATTTAGTTTCTCGATAACAACAGTAATAAAAAAGCGAGAACAAAATGTGTTTGAAAGACAGATCTTTCAGGATATGATAATAAAGTATAGGTCATAATCTCACTTGCATAACAATATGTGTATCACAAGATTATAAATGGTGTTTTTGGACTAAATGAAATTGACAGTGTTTCTTTTTCGGAAACGATTATTTGATATATTCAATTGTAGCTATCAGATGTACGGATTAAATAAGTACTCAAAAGATATAACCATAAATCCTATACGTACTACTACCAAAATCATACTTGATATGACGAGATAAAATGATATGATTAAGATCAATATTTCTCTTATCAACTCATTATGAATATTGGCCAAGGTGACAGATGAGAACTTGGTTTAGTGTGATATTTTGAGGTCAATATTTTCTTATAACGATTCAGTATAAAGTTTGTTTTATATGACAAGTGTGAAGTCTCATTCAGGGTCATAATTTTATTCCCTGTATACAGGAACTATATATAATGTGTTTTTACAGTTGTACGTATTTCACCACCTATGTAGTACTAATATAAGTGTATGTGAAGTTTGGTATATAAATGTTTATAATGTGGTATAAGGATGATGTGAGACGTATTTCTGGGGAGTCTTTCCTCATTGCACCAGTCTTTTCTATTCTCAATTTGCATCATGGAAATTGTAGTGGTTCCTGATTATTAAGTTAAAGCACTTAGACTGTGGACTCAATAAAGTTGATAAGTACATAACGCAGACGACAACTCCGATATAACAGTAGGTTAACCAGGAAAAACATTACCATATAAGCCAAACGATCCAAGTCATAAGAATGATCTATTCTATTGCAACGATATCGAAATTCAACATTAAAACTATACATTTTTTACTTACCCGTACACATTTTATCGGTAAGAACATTTTCTGGTGAGTTTATACTTAGATTTTGCAAAGTATTTTCAATTTCTCGCGTGCGGGGTGGAGATAACGAATTAGAAATTGCATGATCAACTTTCAAATAGTTTCCTTTCTTTAGACCCAAGAAGTTCATTCTAGGATCGTTAACTGGACTACATTTAAGTGATGATGTTGAATGCTTGTAGGTGGATTCATCAGGAAAGTTGAACTGTAAATTACTCCTTGCTGGTGCTGAATAAAAGTGAGCAATAGTTGATTTAAAGAATTATGCAAAAGCAACGCAGTGATTGAATGGGTTATATTGTACATGGATATTTATACTTTGAGACACAGTACAACAGAAATTTAAGCAGTATTAGAGTGAAACTAAATACAGCGAAGAGACTAAAATACCTTCTTTCATAATCATGTTACCCAAAGTCACACGACTTCCTAGTTCGGTTGATTTCCGCTTTACAGTTTACTGGTATTGTAACAAACTAAAATAATTCAACACGCTACAAGGTTCTGTTCATTATCTGTCAAGGCAAAATCGATGTTTATCATACGATGATACCACATACTTTCAGTATGACAATGTTAAGTTAGTAGGCCAAATTGGTTGGGATTAGCAGACAAAGATCCTTATACTCATGATCTCAACTATTGAAATTACTACAATCTCCACATGAAACCTCATAAGTGACTGACTTCAAGAGGTATTTCCTTGAGTTCTAATGAGAAGTAGTGGTCACTAGAGTTCAACCGGGTTTGTTGTGAGATATCAACTCAATGAAGACAATGGTGGATATGTCATTCGATTTCGTGCATTAGTTGAAGTTAGACATTAACACCGTTGGATTCCGGCTCAGTGGTCTAGTGGTTAAGCGGTCGCGCGCGAGACTGATAGGTCCAGGGTTCGAATATCGAGAGGCGTGATCGTGGATGTGCAATGCTGAGGAGTCCCACAATAAGATGAACCGGCCGTCCAGTGCTTCCAGGTTTTCCATGGTAATCTAGCTTCAAATGACTCATGATCTCAACTATTAAACTTACTTATACTAATATCCTAACTCGAATAACGTTAGTAGACAAACTAGTTAATGAATATAGAGGAATCATATTACCCTGAGTAAAAAATCTAGCTCATGTAAATAAACGTTCGAAATAACGAGGAATAATGACGACATATAATTAGATTGCAACAGTTTTAAGAGATATAGTACTTAGCATCAGCGAAATACGGTTAGTAAACCAATTTAGTTGGTGATCTCCAGTGTTGTTAGAGGTACGAAAGCGGTTATCAGTTCCCAGTTTCCTATATTGTGGAGGGACGCTTCTTCTCCATAAATCTGGAAAGGAGATTGAATCAGGGGTGATCTTGATAGCCTAGAAGCATGACCTCAGAACTAAAAGGTTAACTTTTTGAGTCTCGTTATACACGTGGCTTTTAATAAGCAGTTTGAAATGTCTTAGCTCCGTGCTTCAAAGGTTTTACCGATGACGCTGAACATCTGTAGGGGAAGATGAAGTGTGTTACTTCTAGATCTGACCTGTGATATCCCCTTTCCATTAAGGACAGGGCGTACTGTTGTAGATGGTGGTTGCTGGAGGTAAACACCTCAGTACAGTCAGGAATACGGTAGTCCTTTGACCTTACGTTGTTGCTTTTAGTCTGACTTTTCTTCAGCCAACTTGTCTATCGTAGTAGGACTCAAATGAACAAATGTTCTAGTCAAAAATACTTGATTAGGTCATCACGAAATATGACCCCACTCACCACGTCAAGGTAGCAGCTGCTACAATCTAGCAACAAACCTTAATTTACGATTAAGATAAATATACAATTATCTTTATTTGAAAAGACCCTTGAACTATCTAATGTACAAAAGTAAATAGTAAGGAAAGACAATATCAATCTTATGGAGATTTAATAAATATAACAATGCTATAATCAAAATATGGATAAGCTGTTTAAATTCTAAGAGAGTAAAACAGACATACACTTTTTAAACAACTGGTGAGAAGATTCAGGTAACGCCTCATCTGTTTTATTTAGGGTACTTTCCGCTGATATATCAAAAGTGTTATTAAACTTGTTATTTACATCATACTCATCACCTGTTTCGTAAGAAATGCAAGGTTGAGATATGGTCGAATAGGTCGCTGAAAGTTCTGGAAATTTTATGTTCAGTTGTGATTCCCGAAGCCACTCATCTTTTCTGTAGAAAAACAAAAATATAAAGACTAAGGAGGTTACGTAATTATACTTTTGCTCGAATAGTTCTCATTTCATTAAAGCTCAATTTTAGACAATCAACTAAACACATTTAAATACATTTTAGAAACTGTTAAGCTTAATACATGTCAACCGATTTTTTAACATTCAACCGTGACAATCGACAAAGAATATGGCACAAAGTTATGTAAAAAGTATATTGCTAAAATTCACTTTCTACTATTATTTTTGAAGGGCCGATAAGGTTGTTGATCGCCTCTTGTGATGATCAATTTTACCATATCATATAAGTATTATGCTTATTTAGTCCGTCAAATAGAGAAAGTTGAAGTCGCACGAATATACTTCTCATATGTTGTTCTACAATTGTCCAGTATCCAACTCCATCAATCAAAACATCTTTGGCAGTAGCCAGAGGTAAGGTTCTTCGGTAAAAGTTACGTGAACAGTGACCCAAGAAACGAAAAGCACTAGACCCCGGACACGTTCCATGTATTCGTCAATAAGGGAGGTTGGGTGTTATTCTAGCGCTGTATCATTCGCGAACTTTTCAGTCACTGCTGAGATGCTTAGTAGAAATGATGGTTTTTTAATATGCAACTTGCAGAAATACTACATAATATAAGTTTAGTGAAAGTTCCCATTTAAAAATTTAGTAAAGACACGGAAAGAGTGAAGCAATTTCTTCCTAACTAGTTGTTCATCATGGCTCTACACTACATATATAATACTTATCGACTGGTGATGTAACATTAATAATGATTTTTCAGTGTTTATAAAATTATATCAGATGATTAGTTGAATAATTGGAAGAAGGCGGATAATAATAATCCAAATATTATGGGCACAGACGGTCGATGGCTAGTAGTGGAAGTCAGGATGTGCGTTCCGTTCCATTCGGAAATCGTCAGCTGCATAAACCTACATCCCAGAGTTGATGTCCACGCAGGTACTCCAACTTAGGACATTTCGCTTCAAATGCCATCGCGTTTCCATTAAACGAAAAATCGAAGATATGAAATTTTTACAAAGTAGATTTTTAGTAATAAAAAACGGAAAATATCTTAAAAACAAGAGCTGCATTTTAGCTAAAAACATACAGTTCCAATTGTAATTTATCAATACTACTATGCATTTCATTCATTAACTGACAGAGTTCCTTCTCAGAATGTGTTGAGAAATTAGAATCGATAGATGTTTGAGAGTAAAACTGACCAACAGCTTGTTTAAATACAGTAAGACAATCTGATGAACTATTTTGATTCAATGAACTACACTGTGAAGAAGATAATTCTTGAAATTTATCATTTGTAAAACAAGGATTGTAAGATTTGAAAGCCATTTGTAAAAGCATCATTGAATGGCGCAGAAATCTAGAGAGAACACAGAAAATACACAATTACGGACGAAATGCACATTCGTAATTAACTAAATATAATATGATTCTCTTAGTATTTATAAGCTTAAATACAATACAAACTGTTTGTGCGGAGAGTGGTGAAATTAACTGGCTGCCCACATCTAAATGATGATGATGTAAAATTCCAATCTATTCCCTACCTACTTGAAATTCCAACGCTTTAACCACCAAAATACCATTTCATTTTTAAATAAAAATGCTAAACTTTAGATAGAAGATCGCCCTTCACCATTGATGTGTATCACCCTGAATTCAACAAACTGTGAATAAAACAATTTCTTTTTAATATGTTATTCTATAACTAAAGTTATGGTTGATATTCACTTATTTAAAATGAAATAATCATTGACAAAGAACAAAGTACACAGTTATTTCTGTACATAGAATATTTCGAAAGTTTTACAATCTAACTATGTTCAGTTCAATATGTTGAAATAAGACTTGTTATAACAGCCTTCGTGGTAGTCATCATATGAAAGATGATCCAAATATAAAAAGGCAGAAGGTAAATGCATCTAAATATGAATACTATTAACAGTAATATACGGACGTATCCCTGCAAAATCAATCCACAAGACAATACAAAGTTGAAAACAATATATATTCACATGTAATACTTCACGATCGCTAAAAAAAGAGAGATCACAAAAAAAATCATAAACTTACAAATGAAAATTTAATTTGCCATTTATTTGCTTTAGTTCTTCCTAAGATAAAAGCGATAATATGAAAAGCTCATACACGTATTAAGTAGAATATAATGCATGAGGGAATAAAATAATAGCTAAACAATTAAGGTGATCAGTTTCTGATCATTACATCAGTCCATTTGCAAGTGCACAATACATATTTGAGGACCACGCGGTCGCTTGTTGAAGAGGTTGAGCTTTGAAATCATTACGCACTTTTATCTTTTAGATCTGAAATCACATCATACAATTTATATTTATTGGTTGTTTGAATCTTTACACTGATGTTTATGACTGCAATTGGTCAGTCTTTTGGTATATGTTTTCATTGGCTGTGATTAATCAGTTTTACATAACTCAATAAAGACTAATCAATCGGAGTCATAAACGTTAATGGGAAGATTCAAACAACCAATACAAGATGAATTACACTTCACATTATTGTACAAGCTAGTGGCTATCTGGACTCAGTAGCTAGGTGGGTAACGTGATGGCGTTTGAGGAGAAAGATATTGAGTTCGAAGACCGGAGTGAACATCAACTCTGGGATGCAAGCATATACAGATAGGACGAAACGCAAGTCCTGGATTCCATTGCTAGCCACCACCCATAGTACTATCCAGTGTTTAATTCCTCTCACTACCGCAGATACTAATAGTGCTTCGAATCTTTTGCTAGAAACCTTGTCAATTTCATCTTGTCGTGCTGTTGTGTGGGAACTTGAACTGATATACATTTTTGGAAGTCGTTTTTGGGTAGATGAACAATCTTACCGTCCGTTACAGTAAAAGCTACTCTGAATAAACAGACCTTACTGATTTATATGCAAAAAAAGAAATCAAATTTACCAGTTATAGAAACACGCAGCTCGCTTTAAACTGTAGCCTGAAAAATGAAATATTTCCTTATGAATGTGTAATGACAGTATTTATTTATTTTAAAAAATAAACATTGGTACAAGGAGGCACCAAAACAGATATGCGCCACATAAATGACTCGATTTGTGTGAGGGTTGGAATACCGACCGGGTGCCTAAATCGAAGCACGGTAGTGACAGTGAGAATTAGTTATTATTATAGAACAAATTCTCTAGGAAAAAATATTTTTTAACGCAACATTTTCTTACCTGAGTCTTAAAAACATGGGACTAAAATCACTTATGTAAACAAAAATAAGCGGCAATCAAATGACAAATGATAACATCGATATCTAAACTTTTTTAAATCATTGAAAGACTACTTATAAAGTTATAAAATTGATAAGGATTAGGAAAAAATTAATTCCATGCATGAAGGTTACATAGATAAAATCAGTTTTAAGTTTAAATTAATGAAAGTTAGTCATATGGATTGTAAGTGTAAACTATCACTACAGCTTCAAATTATATGGTTATTGAATTGACCATATGAAGAGAATAATTAGAATAGAATTCGGTTTAACGAATTTTAATATTTTTCAATAAATTGCATCTTTTAGTCATATATTTAGAAGTTAAAGGTAATCCCGGTTAAAATATTCGCCCTTGCTGTCAATTTAATTTGAAAGGAAGTCTACGCGTTAACTAATATAACTCTTTGTCCAGATACAAATTTGCGTATTAGGCTTTAAGTCACATTAAGTGTGAGGACTACTGATACTACTCAGCTGCCTACATTGAAGTAGGTGGAGTGGGACATGAACCTATGACCCAGTGACTGAAGTCTGAACACTAACTACTGATCTACCACTCAGATATACTTAGAGCAAACGGTAGTGTTTTTTCATCAGTAATAATCCACCAGAAACTAAAATCTTAAATAACCAAACTCAACTAACAGGTATCTTAAGGCGCCTAAAGCCTTAAAAATGTGATCCACATCACACTACAGTTCACGATATATGGAGTCGCATTTTAACGTTAAGCACGTTGACCTCGTGGATAATTGGATGTTGAAGGGTCAGTTAACTAAATATTTAAGTACATCCAAAAAATAAGTAAGAAAAGATAACAAAACTTTCATAACTAAATTCAGAACAATAACTAATTAAAGTGTGTACCTTGGTATTGTCATTTAAATATGATGACAATATGTTTCCTGACTGTAGAAATCTCATCTTGGAACCATTTAGAGTAAACGGTTTATGATCATTTAAACTATCCAGTATATTGTTAAACTGCAGTAAAGACGGCTTGTGTCTGTCTAAGTACGTTTTAATTTGTTGTTTCAAAGTGGATACCTAGAAATAATTGTTCAAAGAACGGATCAAAAATAAATTATTTGGTCGAAAGAAAACAAATTTGAACATAAAATAATGCTGCATTGAATAACAGTACAGCAATGAATTAATGTTGAATAACCAATCATAAGGAATAAAACTGTGATCAACTAAGTAATCACTCGACGTAAATAGATGTTTGATAGGTCTATTACAAACAATTTCCTAGAAATATAGATTTTATAAAGCATTATTGAGCTGTATATTTTAGATGACAAGCTGTCGAATCATTTATCAGCAGAATTCCCGAAATTTGGACTCAACATTTATTAAAATCAGATTACGTAACGAAACATAAAGACTTTGATAATTTGGCTCATAAGTCTCCCTTAAATTTATTTGAAGCTGGAAAATATCGCTACCAAGGAACGCGTATCACAAACTTGATTCGCAAGACAAACAGAATAAACCATCAACCATAGTTATGTTAAAATTGTTTCACAGCACAAATAACGAAAATCAAATCAGTGTTAAGTACGTTAAGATATGTTGTGTGATCAACCCTCTAAAATATTTACGAATGTCTTATGAAGATATCATTTAAGCTAGTAGCTCTATTTTACTTTCTTACTTTTAATAGCACGTGCAAAAATAGGTGTATGGTATTAAAACTAACAACAACAAGCATAAATTGGATACCGACTGGAAACCTTACATATTTAAGCATGTTAGATCTTTGCAGATTATTGGATTCGACAGCTTATATCACCGGCTAATCTTAATTACAAATGCAAGTCATTGGATTCTGGCTCAGGAGTCTTAAGGTTAACCATTCACTGACAGACTTGAAGATCCTGAGCGCAATCAGCGAAGGAGCCGTGGACAGTTGTAGTTTAAGAGTTTTGTATCAGAATGAAACAGATATCCAGTGCTCCTTATTTTCCAATGATTGTCTAACCAGGGTCTTTCCGTGAAATTTACTATAAAATCTACACATCTGACTTACTAATTACCTATGAATAAGACAAAACCGACATGTTTGGCTGTAACTATAACGTGTAGGTCACACTATTTAATGACACTAGGTATGGTTCTAAAGTTGTGCTCGATCTGACTCCCGAAGTTATTCTTAAAAAAGATATGTGATTTAATCATTTTTACCATACACATAAAATCCTAGATGACACGAACAGTTTTATTCTTGTACATAAGTCACAGAAGCAATAACACTGGGATAACAACGACTCAATATGTTTTCAACACACTGACAAAGAATCATGCCCTAGATGTGAGACACATGTTATATGTTGAAAAGGTACACACACTTATCCACTGTATGTACGAACAATTCAAACATTTCCTGTCTAGTCATGAAATGAGTTATTTCCCGAGAAAAAAGTACATGTCATTACGTCCAAGGCAAACTTCTAAGAACACTCAAACAGATTAATAGTATATTGAAAACACAAAAAGGACCTACTCGGTATGAAGAACAAGTTGTTTGGTGGCTGTCAGGTTAGGATAAGTAACCAAATAATGAAGTTAATTACTGTTGGTTTGTGTACTGTGGACAGATAAAAACTTCGTAATTGGGTTCCAAGACATTTCAATAAAAATTGTTTAAAGGACACGGTAGGGCATACGCGTTTGATTCATAATTTAACTTAAATTTTAGATATCCGGTTATTGAAAACGTATTTGTTCCACCCTACCTTTATATTTCCTCGACTTTTTAAATTTATATGTACACATAACCGTTTTGAGCAGCTGAAAGAATAACAACTTGGACTGATAAAATTCTGTGATTATTATTAGATTACGTTTTTTCGGCTTTATGTAACGTATGGTAAAATTAAATTGCTGCCTGATTATACTTTTAATAAAATCTACGGTTACAAGACATTTGCTGGGATATTCAGGAAAATAACCCAGAAATTATTCTATTAAGTCTAATGCTATTCTTGGACTTGGAGATGATATTATTTACTTATTGGTCAGTACTTGTTTCACGTGTTATTTTCCTACTGGTCAAGATTGTACAATATTATTTTCTATTTTATAGTACGTTGTGGTCTGCTTGACTGGTATATAAACAAAGTATGTTTGAAATATAATGATTCATATATCCGAGGCTGTGACTTGCGTTCTGGACTCAACTGCCGGGCTAGATAGGGAAGCGGGGCCAATCAGGACCCTAGGTCGTTCTACGTGTTTGTGCGTCTGTGGTCCGATCGATAATTCGCTACCCTCGAATCTGCCGTCACAGTTATAGCAACATTCCAACCACAACATATCTTCTTCATATCGATTATGAATGATGTAAGGCATTTTTTGAACATGATCAGAGTAAGAACAAAATATTTCCCAAGAAAAAAACACTAGATGAACAAGATGGAAAAAAGATTACTTTTTTTGTTAACTCCAATTGATAAGCAATTAGTTCATCCGGGAGTCCAATGGTTTTATCAGAACAAAGAGAAAACAATTGCGTATCGTTCCTATGATCAAAGAGTAAGACGTGATTTACGTAAAGAAAGCGATAAAAATAGCTAACTTACGACGTCACAAGATTATGCTAATAATCAACTTTATTTCAGTAGAAGTCGTAGATTATTGGTAATCAACAACTATGAAAACGCTTGATATGTTGAACACAAAAAAAGCCGCATAAAACAATACAACCTCATAAAGAGAAAGGCATAGAAGACAACATGGATAAAAAGCACTTGAGTAACGTTTAAGTGTTCAAATTTGATTTAAAAAATTGTAGAACATGAAAAACCGGAGTCGATTCCCATTAATAACGATTACTTAAGCTATTGATTCATATGATTTACGTAAATCACGATACCGAACATTGATGACCTACGAGTCCATGTCATAAACTGACGATACCTCCACTTCTCACGTTCACTTTCAATGTCGAGGAACAGTATTTATTGTGGAAATAAATGAAAACTTAAACATAAAACCAAAAATTTACTCAAGCCCGTATTTTAGGATGGCTGTCGGTCAAACAGTTGTCATCACAGTGACCAGATATATTCAAAAATCTAGACTTCAGTCAACCACTATACAAAAGACAGAAATAAGCGAGCGAAGAGAATTTCTTCAATACACCGACCCAAAAAGACCATGTTTTACGGATAAAGTGTTGGACTTCTTACCTTGAGAGAAAAAGTATGAACCTATACTGCTACAACCCTATTACCATCTCATCGAATTCTGTACAAGCTAGCATATCATTTAAGCTTTTGTAACACGAAAACTGGCTCCATTAATCACATCACTAATAAGACACATAGTTAACTAGATATAGAGGGAATATTTACTACTTACAACAATTTATCCCTGACAGTGAGTGGGTGTTATGGGAGAGGTTTAGTACGTTTTGACCACACGATATTTAAACCATAGTAATCGACTAATAGAATGCTGATCGACAGATGAACGCTATGATATAATTTAACTAGTTGACGGTTACTCACAAGATCGCATAATTGATTTAGGCCTCTGAATGATTACAAATCAAAGATAAGACCACTGGCCCGATGAATTTTTATGTAAGGAAATAACATGCCTATATACAAAATATGAACACAATAAACATGATAAAATGTCATAGGCGATTGAAATAAATTAGCTTGTGGGTCAGTCATTCAACCGATCAAGGTTGGACTGTTAGGCCTGATCTATGGATGCTGTATCAGTGGCAAACCCAAGATACTTTCAATGTTGCAGAATAACAGTGTGGTCAAGTTTTGTAAAGCAAAAACCATAGGTGAAAATTAACCACTAGATAAACAGGTGTGATACCAACGGAACGTTTTCCCTAACAGGATCAAGATTATTCTAGCATATATATCACAGATTGCAGTTGTAATCTAAGTACATCTAGCACATTTCAAAACAGCTGTGTTCCAACGCTGGTATAACTTAGCACAAAATGTAACTTATTTACCGAGCACAAATTTATGCACTCAGTTTTGAGCCATATTATATAAGGGATAGAAAGACTATCTGGATACCTGAAGTGCAGTTTGAATCAGTCACCTGCTTGTTGAAAAGTAACTCGCATAATCTCTAAGTCACCACTGCATTCAGTTATAATGCAAAATACTCACCCGGGAAACGAACTCCATATTTTGTGGTGAAACGCTACATGTCGAAACGGTATTGCTTATTGCTTAACTACAGATTAGCTGTACAACATACTTATTCAAACAGGATAACCGAGAATATATGTGGCTTACTGGAAACATTTTATATGGGCTAAAACTGGGTAGTACTAAAGTATAGTTGTAAACACCTGTTGCGAGTGGTGCAATCTAATCTTCCAAACCTCGGATATGCGGAAAATGGTGTAATAACTGGTATAAAACATTTGGGAATACGCAGAGTGATAAGAAAAGTACTGACATGTAAATAACTATCCGATGAAGTTAACTTACATATTATTTCGTAAATCGGAATCTGAAACAATGAGGTGCTTGAATTTCAAAATTTCTTCTGATGCATGCTGAACTTCAACATCCAGAGCTTCAGATCCTTTTTGAAGTTCCCTTTAGTCAAAGAATTCGTAGAGCATACCACGATTTATAATTATTTTAATGTAAAGCACTCCTACTATCAAAATTACTAAACGATAAAGTAATAGTAACATTGAGTGCGTGATAGTGGTGTTAAAAGAAAGCAAGTGAGAAATGCAAGTTGAATTTCGAGAGACAAGCTATAAATGTACTAATCTCACACGTTTGACACAAGTTAGCGTGGTAAGTCAGTAAAAGCTAGTTTACAGGACAAGGATCGTACAGATATATAAGTGTAGGTCATCCCATCATTCGAAAATTGAAACTTTGTACTTGTTACCTCAATTTTACAAGTCATCCTTCTGATTTTGCTGGAGTGAAGTGTAGCAACTCGGCGGTATATCGCTCTTCGAACGTCTTATAAAAGTAACTAAAAGTCGAGGTATAGAAGGAAATAGAATGTGTAGAAAATCTAAATCAAACCGCAGCATACTGAAGCGTAATATGTTATATAAAACTAGACAAAGGAAGGTGTTATCAGATGAATGTGGTTTTACACTCGATACAGGAGAAAACGTTGTATTTGAACGCTTTAGAATATTAGGTCTTTTAAAAATAAAGATTATTAATATATATGTATGCACTCCGTCATCCAGTGCTGCTTGTGTTGTTCGTTAACCGGAAGCTGAACACAAAAAACTGCATGTCATAAGTGCTACTTCCTCTCCTCATTAGCTGACGGTTATAAACATAGCTACGATTGTTAATTTTAACTTATCAGTTAATAAAACTAGTTATTAGGTAAATGCTCATGTATTTTGTCTGAACCACAATTTGTAAGGAGTATACACCATCTAAACGCCTGGAAATGAAGACGGTCAAATTTGTAAACAATGGGTAGGAGTAATATGTTTAAATTAATCACCTAGGCACTACGATAGTAGTGAGTAGTTCATCCAAATATTGCAAACTAACCTTTGGAGCAGATCTCCCGAAATAATATGGGAAAGTGAATGTTCTAGATTGCGCTGAACACTTTCTATAGAGTTGAATGACATCCATTCACAGTCAGGATCATTTTCCATGATTTGTTTGTTGAAGGATAACATGCCGTTTGAAATTACTAAGACATAAGAAGATAGATTAGCCAGAAGACGCATAACGCCAATACCGGCAGGGCAACCCCAAGTGACGAAAAAGTTGGAGATCACTTTAGGAAACTACCTACGTTAAATGGAAATAAACGCACCTCAGCTGACAAAATGCGTAACCAGCGGTAAGTAGCATTCTTGAACCCAACATCAGATTTAGGACCTAGAAACGCCCTTTATGGATTATATAACTACTTGGATAATACCTTAATTCCGTATCATATTTCACAGGGTTTAGAGTCCGAAATAAGAAGTGGAGTATATGTATAAACTCTACTTTGCGGGATATTTTGAAAAAAGATCTTTAGTAGTTAATTTGGAGAGCTTTTAACTTACGAAAATGAATCTGCCTGTTTAGGAACGTTGTGTGTGTCAAAATCATAGTCCAATATCCTCAAATTCCTCAAAACCACAGATGAATACCTAATTAGCAGATATTTCGAATCTTGCGGCATATTATTTGCGGATCCTAGGTCGCGCAACGGTAAACACAACCCAATATTTACATGCTCAGCTCCTAAAAGCAAGTCGACTTTTTTTAACTTCAGAATATGTTTTAGGGAATGGCTAAATACTTGTGAATACATCTAATGAGAGGGGTCTCCCATATGTCATCAATTCAGAACGATAATGGTAAACACTTTTGGATTCTCTTGTAACCTGAGATACAAGTACCAGTACTTCCCTATTCTCCGATATCCGATCCATCCTAATATGAATTTACTTTGCACTCTTCAGATCGTTTTTGTATAACACTGCCTAATAACACCTACCCTGTAGTAAAGTTCCTTTCCATAGCCAGACACCCGAACTATTTAGAATAGTATTCAATGTTTAATGAAAAATTTACTTGAGAAAAAGACCCGCTGACATAGTGTGAATACCAGCTTTTCGGAAATAGCTGAAAGGGTGATAACCTAAAGGTACTTGAACTGTAAAACACTAATTAGTTCTTTTACCAGTTTTGAACTTGAGACTCGTACAGTACAGAAATATTGCGTAGCATGTAGCCATGATGTTTCGAATCGCTCACAGTTTTTTTGTCACTCCAGAACATTTATTTGATCTAGGGCTAACATAAACTCAAGACATTTGTTAAGAGCATAACTCTAAAGAGAATGTGCAAAATATTTGCCAACGTTCCCGTCGTTATTATCTGAAAGTTGTGGAATTCCTGTCGGGAGAGATAGTAACGGCATCTTTTGATGAATCGTTGTACCTTTAGTAATAGCGCGAGATCAGGCTCCTCGAAAAGCCTACCTGCTGACAGACATATTAAGCTTTAAGATTCTGAAAGAAATAAGAGTATATTGAGACCGAAACCGCCCTTCAACTACCAATATGAAAATGACGACCAATAACTTGATCGCTATTTTGAAGAATATATTTATCTCTGGGCTATGAATGTGTTTGGAACATTCGCTTACACAAAACCGAACAGTAATGCCGTTTTAACAAAATAGCATGAAAAATTAACTATTAAACTGCATGTAAGTTACTACTTTCTAAATTGCAAATGATAGCCACCATTCCTCCGGCACTTTTAGCAAAATAACGCTGACTGCTATTTGTGATCCATTCGAATTCTGTTTTAGTTAATTAGTAGTTTGACAGAGTTGTTGTTTACTACTTAAGTGAATTTTAAGTCAACTTAATGTGGCTATTTATAACGAAGTGTACTCAAGCAAGTAAAATTCATTATTTATTAACTGAGAAATAAAAGCAAACATGGGTTCCAACTTTAATATTTGATTCACCAACCTAAGGATATTGATAAGCATGAATGACTGGTAGATTTTAGTAACTGCAGGTTGAAGCGATTCTGAGTTAAACCCTTTTTAACATCATAATTTGATAGTACTTAAGCATAAATAGTTCCAACCATTAAAAGTATCATTATTCTTGACGGTACTGACATAATGTTTTCGTGCCTATCTCTTATCTGAATTTGATACTCTTAATAAAGTTTAACCGTTTGTTTCTTTTCTTTTGTTTTCTTTTCAGAATTGTATCTATTAAGCTGGGTAGCTATCTAATTGTTTTCTGATTTAAAACTTATGTCTGTGGTGAACCAAACAATATATGAACTCAAAAATGTGGTGTTGCATACGATGTATGGTGCACTCTTTTTGGTAGTCCGCTTTAGTGACGCACTCGTATTTAGTCAGGATGTCGATGAAAAGGTTGTTCACAGATTCCATTATTTGTACACCATGAATTTCATAGTCGGTGTGTAGTGTACCGCTCACCTGGAAACGTGTATTTTTGTCAAGCAGCTTCTTTTTGTTCATGTCTACTAATTAACTGTAGGCGCTAAGAAAGTTGACCTCGAGAATGGGTTGTTTGACGTGAGCGACTATAAAAACCCATGTGAATCTTCTCCGGAGTCCGAGGTTAGAAATGACGGATTACTCTCCATAAGTTTTGATGACAGTATCGTTAGCCGCAATGAGTGGCAACTTGGTATTTGTTGTTTGTTGTCGACGCGAGAGGTGCAGTGGGACTTCGCTGATTTCTGCTCCTGCATCGACTAAGACGTCTGGGCCAGAAATACGGTCACTGATATGGAAGAGACGGCTAGCATGTTGGACAGTAACAGACACCGTCATTACTGTCTGGCCGGCCCATTTCCCTGGTTCTCATAATTGTTTGTTCTGAAGTTGCACGGTTGTGTGTAGCGCCGTGTTTTTCCACCAAACTTCAAATGGTACCAACAAATTCCAGCTGCTCGTTCAGGTGATCTAGGGCGCTGTCTGGAAACTGATCTTTTTCTAGTCGTGGATCTAGCCGGTCGAGAATGGATAGACGCGATAGTAGCGCGTAATGATGCAAATTGCGTTGTCAACTGAGTTAACTGTTGCTGGATGTTAAATGTGGCCTTTTATCTGACTCCATTTGGATCGTATGAATGATTTTTATCGAAAAATACGTTTCGCCAATCCTTGAATACAATCATCGACTTAAATTGCATTAGTGCATACCGCAATTAAATAAGTCGAGTACGAAAATGAATTTCAAATACTCATATTTTGTACACTCATCGATCTGAACAGTCAATCAGAGGAACGAACCGAAATAGCACGCAGTGGAGAAGGCAAGTTAGTCAGCTCAATTTAATTAAGCGTTAATCGATATTCATAGCTGAACAACAATAAGTTACAGGCATATGATGAATATGAAAGGAAACGCACACACATACACTCACATAGAAACTGTCAAGATTGATAAGCGAATAATTAACAAGGTCACAATGTAACTTGAGAAGGATGAATAGACTGGGTTGTCCGGAAGCTAGAATAAGCTATGCAGGGTTAACATAGCATCCATCACTACATGTTAAGTTAAATATACAACCACAAAGCACTTACAGTAAGCACATTCTGTCACTTCTCTATCCTTACTTATATTCCTAGTCACATTTTCTGTGGTACGGTAGACTACAAAAAAGAAAGCGTCGGAGAAAGTGAAGTCTTACTAGGTTATTAATTATTCTGAAGTAAAAATTTTCAAATTTTCTCCTCACTAAAATTTCAAAGAGCTTACCATATTTCTCAACGATTTGTTGTAATTAATATACTGGGTATAACTTAAAAACAGTAAATCTTATAATAATAATCTACAGGTCAAAATGAAGCTTATAATAAGAGGAATATAGACATATGCAATCTAATCACTGAATAGTTATTCAATAAGAATATATCGATAATATTACTCCACTAATAGTTCGCAAAAGTTACTCGTACTTTAATCTTAGTTAGGATATAAAATAATTATGAGATGGTGGAGAAGATTTGTAGCTTAGGTGGATGATTTTGATGGAGTTTTGTTCTTTGAGTTGGATGGTTTGGTCGTGGAGCTTTCATCGTTCTTCTGCGCCACATAATCAGCACAAAATTCTGAAGTTAAGTAGTTTCAATTTACAACTTCTTAAGACTACTAATCTCAGTTTGTAATATTAAATATTTGCGATAATGATTACATAATGAATGCTTTAAAATCTAAACAGGAAACTTATTTATTCTCTCTTGAAGTCATTTAAAAATTCTTAATGAATTTGTTTTGTGTTACATCTTAAAATATCAATGAAATTGTGTTGAAAACGTTCTTTTGATTCAGGATCATTCTCTTGAAAAAAATTTAATTAAATATTCAATAATGTATTTTAACTAACAGGTATAAATGAACAGATCAATACTGATCCAAGTGATTTCTGGTAAAAGTTTCTTCTTATATGTCAATACAAATGGCGTATTCATAACTTTTAGTCAATTCATATTTTATATCCCAAAAGGAAAAAAACAGTATCTAAATTATACGTATATAGTCACAGTAACAGAGATCTATTTTTCTAAAGAAACCTAGAAGTACTGTGTTTAATCAATGGAGATAATATGATGAAATACAATGAATTTATCGTTTTCTAACATAAATTTACTATAATAATCAAGATGATAATTAATCGAAAACATACTTTCTAATCATTATCTTATCTACTGATTATCTTAATTCTGATTGAATTGCCATAATTACTTTTGCTCTATGATAAACAAAATTATTGTGTTTGTTTGAAAGAGCAATATTGATTAACTTCAAATAAACTTCAAACAATGACATAGAAAAAAGTGATCTTTATACTTTTATTACTAAATGGACACCAGTAACAGAGAGGATTTCGTTCATGGAATGTATTTAATAACAAAGACTGACTAATTGTAGTACTAAATATCGATTATTGAAAGAAAATGTTTTACAATCAGTGACAGAAATAATCTTTCTATTGTTTTGACAGTTTCATCGCTTCGAGCATCAGAATAACGACTGTTTTTTAATGATACATAACAATAAAACTTCGTTCAGACTGTGTTTTGTAGTCTCTTCCAATTTTACCAACTTTGATTTATAGGAAGACAAACAAAACAAAGAAACATTTCTTTCTAATAAGTTTGTCATCATAGCTCTACACTCACATCTATGTGTCTCTTAGAACAACAAAACGATACTAACGGATTAGTAGTATTAAATAATTTATTAATATCACAAGTTTAAGTTTATTTGATTTTGTTTGTTTGAATCTTCCCATTGATATTTTGGACTGCAATTTATCAGTCTCTTATTGGCTTATGTGAATCCTGTGCGAATTGCCTCAATATTGCTTTGATTCACGAGTATTATAGCAAAGATGGATGGTGGACAGTAGTGGAATCCAGGACGCGCGTCTTGTCCTATTTGGGACTCGTCAGTTGGATGTATCTGCATCACAGAGTTGATATTCACTCCGGTATTCAAATCCATATCACAAGTTCGTATGAAAATAGTGTTGAATGATTAAATCAAATGGTTGGAAGAAAGATATAATTGTAATAAGTAAGCCAATTACTTGTAACACCTCAAAAATTGAATTACGTATTACAACGATCACATCCATCTGCTTCGAATTAGTTAGTTAATCATTCAGAATTTCACTCTGTTTACATTCATAGGCAGTTATTGTCAATATGTATATAACTGAGCTTTGCTTATGTACTAAGTACACTAGCAGACATTGTCTTCGTTTCTGATTTTATTGCTCACAGTTTAACTCGTTTTT